TGGTTCTATAAAAGGGATAAAGAGGATGGAAAAGCATGTGCCAAGCGTCAACACATGGAAAAAATGTTATGTTATTAAGTTTACAATCATATCACAATTGCATCATGGAGTGAATGCAAATCTGATCTTTTCACTAAGAATATGGTCGATACTGTATCATGTGTCATGAATGTTTGATGTAATCTTGTATAACAGAAATTAGCATCTGCTCACATCTCTCCCTTTGAGGTTAATGTTTATTGAACTTTGTCTTTGTTGGTTTATAAAATACACTAAATTGAGTACTAAGTGAAGATCATTATTAAAATAGAATTCAATAATGACAACACTTTTATGAACAGTGAAAAGTATTTTGTGATTTATTAGAGCTAAGATTTGCATGATAAAAAAATATTATTTATATTTTTTAGGTTTAACCAGTTGCAAAATTACCTTCAAACATTTAAACACTGACCTATTACTGCTGCCGGCACAAAAAAGCGAGTCGTTCTTATCACAGTTGTAACATCTCCCTACGACAAATGTTTCAATATGATATTGCTGGCACAATTTTCAGCCTGATAACATCTGATAAGACGAGAACTATTTTCCCTTGATACTCTGCCGCCTGTTTTCCTTCTTATTGGTGTGAAACTATGTTACCATGGACAACAGAGAACCCTGGTCTAGTATGCATCTGGTGACCTGAGTGCTAGTGAGAGACGCACACAAACGTAATGACATTTTTGCAGCCGTCCTGTAAAAGAGATGGGGTCAATGTGACACCAAATGAAAAAGCCATCTCTGGTATTATCCCTTCGACACATACAATCACTTTACCAACGCGTCTTATGATTCTGCAGGTGACACTGATCCAACTCACACCAAATGTCACCAGATTGTTCCTCGTTATTTCATCAATGTTCAGAGAATGGGCTGTTGAGAGACATGCTGACATTTTGAGAGGAATGAGATCTATTACATTTCAACATTTCCACAGTAAAACAGAGTAGAGGGAGAATCCATGAGAGTTTTCAGCCAAGTTGTTTTACTTTAAGCAAATATGACTTGGTGATAGATACTGTATTCATCCCTGTAGGAAAAGTACGGGTGTCCAGTAGCAGCAAAAACACATCCATCCACACAAACAAAAACAAAAAAAATATAATTCAAACAAGCTAACAATAGTAATAATAAGAAACAGCATTTCAGGTCAGATTTCATGTTATTCAGGTTATGAGCAGGAAGCACAAAACAAACTTAAAATGTACTTTTTGTAGTCATAGTTATGCAGTTTTCTCTGTGCAGAAAATACTCACATGGACAGATTCCATAGCTTTCAAATTTCCTTGGGAAAACCCAAAGAATTTATTTTATTATTGCCAACCTTTTTTGCGCACCCACATAAAGAACATAATTCCATGATTTACTGTTTTATCGTCTTTAAGGGAATCGATTGCAGCATTTGGGAAGCGATCACCTCCTCTCTCCTCTTTAAAGCAGCCGGCCATTGCTTAACCAATCAAACAAACTGCTCAGGCAGCAGTAAGTGCGCCTCCCTCTTTCAAACTGTATTGAACATATTTTGTCACGCAGAAGTCAAAGGTCTGTGTGGAAGTGGGCCATGGGGAAGACAGATGTTTACCGATACCATTTTCAAAGAGCTCTGGATCGTTAGGGGAAGTGTGAGGGTGTAAAATGGAGAGGTCTTTGCTAATTCTAAATGCAGAAGCTATGCAAAGATAAAAAATCCAGGTATAACGAACATAAAAAATATGAGAATCATATGGAAGCCACAGAAATTCACAAAGTAGTTTTGTCCAGTCAAGCAAACTGTCAGATCATAAACCAGGGGTTAAAGCAAAAAAAAAAGATTTGACTGAAAAATTTCGCATGGAAATTTATCACATGTAAATCACAGTAATATGCAGGACCAAGTTATATTTGTAATTACAATATATTATTGTATAATAGATTGTATATTGAATACAGCTCAAATGAATTCTTCAAAGATATACAGTGTATTTTGATATGAAATATAAGTGGATCAAGCAACGAGTAAACTTTTTGACAGAATATTAGTGAGAGTAGCTTTACTTGAGGCGATATGGAGCGTCAACACTTTGGCTCTGTCCTCGTCAAAATATTGCAAAAGGACGATAAAATTCTGTCCACATTTGTTTGTGGACACGTCAATATTTAAGAAAAAGGTTTCCCTATCAAGTTTGAGTGCACAGTGCCCTTCAATCAACTGCAAATGATTTAAATAAATCTACCAGCGGTAGTGATATTCTGAACGTTATTTTCTGCGATAAAGCCACAGACACGGTCCGCCAGAGCAAGCCTAGTGTCAGTTGTTGCTGATGCACCAGATAAAGATGAAGTGTGGGAAAGTGCACAAACAGCTGCCTTGTGCGCAGTTTTGAGCTGGTGGCGAATCAAAACTTTTTTCTCATTACTCCCATATATGCAATTTTTTATGGCAAAGTACGCACAAGCACCGGCCACTCTCATCTTTTCGCACCATGACTCGTTGATTGGCTCTTTTACATCACGCTGAGTTTTGCAAGAAGATCGCAAACAAGACAATATCAAGAGCTCACCAAGACATGTTTGTCCCCATTCCCAGTTGCAGCAAAGTCCGTTTTGTACATTCCGTTAAGTAAACTAGCATTGCGTTTGGTAAACGTTAATTACCTTTCCTCTATTACGCGCCCAGCTTACCAGTCCGCGGATCTGCTGCTGTTATTGCTCCGTTCGAGATTCAATTTTCCTCCTCTTCTCCTTTTCAAAAGCTCCGTGCAGTTTCCAGAAACTTTCACCTCCGTGTTACCAATGATAACTTCATCGCGTCTTCATTTGCGCGTGAGCTCAGCTACGTCCCATTGCCTTGATTCATTTGCGGAGCACTCATGTGGCCACGGCACGTTCAAGGCCCACTCGTGATTATATTACTTATTATTTCTATATACATATAAATACAATTATATTCAAATTATTATTATACATCGATATATATATATATATATATATATATATATAACAGATTCACACGTATATGTATTACTATATATTATTTTTATAATCAATCATTTCATTGTGTGTATTATTATCATTATATATATATATATATATATATTTTTTTTTTTCCAGACCAATTTAATTTGACGGAAATCCGTCACCTAGACGGAACTCTTTAATCCCTGTCATAAACATTAAGAAACAACTGCCAGCACCGGTTGTTTCTATACATCAAAAATGTGAAGTGCAAATCAATGACTCAAGAAAAATATATTTAAACTAGAGCTTGGACTCGATTAAAAAAATGTATCTAATTAATTAGAGGCTTTGTAATTAATCGCAATGAATCGCATTTTAATCGCATATAAATATTTGTCCTGAGAACAGTGAGAATTTAAAAAAAATTCAAATGGATTTTTTGTTTACCATTAAATAATGACTGAATACATAAGCTTAAGCAACACATGTTCATTGAGGATGATAAGGGGATCAGACGGACTTCTTTCTTTCCATCAAATAACTTATCTGTCATCGCCTCCACACACTCTGACCTTCTCCTCCCCACACTCTGTCCACAACAGACGCTTTTTATAACCAAAATCCACTGCACTAACAGTGAGCACTAAAGCTTATAATACGTTTTTGATGTGTGCATTCGAACTAAAACATCAGCAGCTCACACACCTGTGTTGCTGCTCTTCCTCCTCCTCCTCCTCCTCCTTCTCCGAGGAGTCGCTTGCTGCTCCTCTTCCTCACACACAGTCCCGTCTCAGTCCATCGCTCCATACACAGCACTCATTCCCGTCTCTAACTCAGATTTAGACACTGCTAAAGTTGGTCCATGCTTGTAATAATGTACTTTTGAACAAGAAAAGTCACGGAGCTCGATTTGCTGCACCAGTATAATCGGCCCGTCTGAAACTCGTCCTCCAGTGAGGAAGGTTCCGCGCTAATTTTTGTTGCGTTAATTAATCGTAATTAACGCGTTAAAGTCCCGGCCCTAATTTAAACATGTGTTATGTAATGTTTTAATGCATGATGATTAAAAAAAAAAAACCACAGGGGACACGGGGGGTGACCAGTGTCCATTAACGTTCACAAATGTCCTGGATCGTTGCTGTCCTTAGACCATGCTGCATCGACAAGGAACCACTCAAAAACCCAGCAGAAAAAAGTGAGAAATCTTAGGGAGGCCGATCTATAGATCCAGGCCGTAGACCAAGGACCGAGGCCATGCGGTCCCAAGGCCGCCTCAGTCTGGGAGGAAACACCAGTGGCGTTTGAATCAACACATTATCCTTATCTCAAAGCAACACGGAGAAACCTCAAGAGATGGTACTTCACCGTCATGACGCCACATGTGAGCTTTTTGGAGGTGCATATTTAAGTTTAAAAAAATCTTTTTAATACGAAAACATACCTTTATTTTAGACTATTATTTGGATAAAAAGTTATTCACAATCTTAAAGAAAATGTTTCTCATACATGAATAAATCTGTATCTTTCCCATTGTTCTTTCTTACAACAAAATACAAAGTGGGAAGTTGTCTTTGAACGTGGGTTCAATCCCACCACGACCCATGGCATCTGTTCCCACTGATGTCTGCTGTTGTTGTGTCCCTTGGCAAGACACTTAACCCCACTTGCCTGAAGCCAAGTGGGGATACGGCCAACAACAAATCCGCATCTGCAGGAGGATAAGGAAGGGAATGGTATTTGTTTATTGGGTGGCAGCTCTGATTGCCACCCCCCTGACCCAGATATCGATAAGAAAGGGATGTGAATGAAATTATTTAAAAAAATTAAATATCTAAAGCGTACAATTCCTAAAAAGCTCAAATGGATGCTCTCCCTAGTGTTTCAGCAGCCCTTGCTTATGCAGCATTGAGGCATTGAACATTCGGGAGCGTGATCTATGCTGATGACGCAGACTCCGGCGCAGCCGCGGCCCTGCTAACTCCATTTGGAACGACCTTACCCATAACCCCGTCTCACACCAGTGGCTCCTGCGGATACCAGCATTCATCACTGGCCTACTCACATCGGCCCACTGACAACCGCTTCTACGTCCAGTACGAGTAAATCAACAGAAATATACAAACAGACGCAATTATCTGCCGGGACAAAGAGACGATTCATCTTAATAATGACTGTTACAGCGAGCGCCCCATTACCTAAAGACTATAGGCGCCCAGGCAAGGTCATGCCAGCTTATGTTCTCAAGAAAACGCTCCAAATAATCACAGCTTTTTAAATTTTAATTTGCTGACAAATTCGTCTTTCTCTCAAGGAGTTTAAGTTTTTCCCATTAGTTGCACGTTTTGAAGCTAGGCATTCTTCAAAAGAATGTGAGATGTTTCATTAGTGGAAAGGAAAGCTAAATTGAGGAGTTGAGTTTAATCATTCTGCTTTGAGGCTTTTCATATAGCATTATAAATAGCATTACATATTTACTAGTCTAGTGTATACTGTATTGTATGTAAGTAAGTAAGTGTTTGTTTCAAACTTATATTTTCAAACAGAAGAACAAAACAAACAAGATACAGACATTCCCTTTGAAAAATAATACTGTGGTGTATAAATAGGTTTCACAACACCAATCATTTTAATTAAAGCCATGGTTATATAAAGAAACAAACGCTAAAAGCATTTTGCATGCAATGGTGAACATGACCAATGTCAAGAATGACTTGAAAAACAGTGATACAAAATACAAAATATAGCAACAAAGTAAACAATAGGCGTTCTGTACAATGACAGTTAATGGTAAAGTGAAAGTATACGTTTTTGTCCTTTGTCCATTCCTCTAATGCCAATAGAAAAACCTAGGCTTGGTCACACCCTTTGTTGGAAGATGGTGCATAATTTAGCTGGTGGCAGGGGGTTAGCACTCTCGCTTCTCAGCAAGAAGGTCCTGGGTTTCTGAGTGGAGTTTGTATGTTCACCCAACAAAGGTTTCCTCCAGTTGCTCTGAATTTCACTACTACTGAAAACGGTACCAATCCCCCCCCCCCCCCCCCCCCATCTCTGTGTAGAGTAAGAGAAAAATGCCCACAACAATTGTAAAGTGCTTTGTGACTTCTTCTGCATGAAAAAACACAGAAAAGGATTCTTCCTGCTGTGAGGCATGAACTCACATGAATCCAACTATAGACAAGTTGAGTGGGTTTATCAGAAGGAAAAACATAAATACCACAGGCTGAGGAAGACAAAACAAATATACTGTATAAATCCATACTCCTATTACTATAGAGCAACACAGGTATTAGGAACAAATACAACAATAGATCAAAAAATAGACAAACAGAAGTTTACTTGCACTGGTTTATTTTGATTTCGTGCCAATTTCCAGCCGGGCGGAACTGTATAAGTCACTCACAAAAGCACTGAGAAGGGACATGTTGAAAGAACTGCACTCTCTAATTGGACTGGGGTGAAAAAATGCAATCAAAATTCCAGCAAAAACTTTTAATTAAAGCTGTGATGTGATCCAGCAGAGCAGCTACTGGAACCAAAACTACAATATCATATGGCTTTTCCAGCTTTTCTTTTGGGTTTAAATATTTTGAATTTGACTTTGATTTTTCAGGCTGGGTATATGAAGACTTAACAGGAGGCATGGGCTTCACAGAGACTTCAAATATATTCATTGACTTCCATTGTGGCTACCCGTGGCCCACTCAATCCTCGCTGCAGCCTTCTTCCTATTAGAAAGGCGCTTCATGTCAAGAAACCGCATTCAGCTGCCAGGTTCCCAAAAGCACAGCCAATACTACTCCCCGTGCCTCCAAGTTCACCCCACAAATTCTACGCTGCTTTTGGCAAGGATCGGCCGCTCGGTACAAAGTCTTAATTAGAAAGAATTTGATGAGATAACTCGGTGAAATGGATATTGCACTAAAACTAATTCAGACCGTGGCTTATTTCTTTTTTTCATTCGGAAAATATTCAGACCACGTTATCATTCCTTGAAGATAAATTACACTGTTTTGATTGAGCTATCGCGTGTATTTCAAGGATTAAAAGTTCTAATAAAAACATGCTTGTAACTGAAGAGAGACCAAAACAATTGAAAACAGCTTTTAAGATAATCATTTGTCATTGATAAGCTAAGTTTTCACAGAATACAGTCAGTGTCTCTGAAAGCAAATTAGTCGTCTACATTGGACACAAATGCAAATATGTGTTTTCTGAATATTACCTGTACACAAGTATTAGTAAACCTTTTCATTTCCATTCAACTCAATTAAATTTATTTTGTTATCGCCCTAAATCACAACAGTAGTTATCTACAACTTTTTTTTTAAACGTCAAATTTGCCAACACAGATCAGAGAATGCAATGGTTTAAACACAAAAATTACAATGGCATTACATACATTTTTTTTCCCAATTTTTGTTCTTCTTCTTCTTATTATTATTACTATTATATATGTGAACTTTTCTTTGCATTATAACTGTTGCCTTGTGATGTATTTTGAATAATGACATTCTATTTGAATTCTAAAGGCAGGTATTAAACAAAAATTGCAATGGCAAAAAAACACATTGGTCCACAAGGGGCAGAGACCAAAGAAATAGTCTGTTTTTGTAATCTGTTTAATGTTCACTCCCTGAAAATTTTATATTTTTATTTTTATTATAGGCCAAGTGGTTGAGATGCAGTTTGACAGTAAACATAATAAACAATAAACCAAGTGATATGCCCCAAAGAGGTATATTTCAGTTCCAGGCAAGCTAAAAGTAGATATAGAGGTTTTGCACCACCATGTGACCTACACAACCTCTACAGTGACTCAAAAGGTGATCTACCATTTAAAGGGTTAATAACTAGATAAAACTTAAATACCGACAGAGCTGGTGCTGCCCTAGCCTGACTCTGGCCAGACCCATGTAGTTCCCTGCACTTCACACATGAGTCTGGTACTGAGCCATAGTGGTTGGATTTCAGAAGGCAGGGCCTTGTAAAAAAAATCCTTGTATGTGATTGGATAGACCACTTATTATAGTCCGTTATCTTGAATGAAGTCTGTTTTCAACCACTCACATCGAAGCACACGGCTCCCATAGGTTGCCAAATCCCAGCAAGATTTTCCAACCCAAAATCCGCGAGAATACCCACACACAAAAAAGCACTCAGAATGATTTTTTGGCTAAAAACGTAATGTAATCAACTTGGGCTATCATGATTCTGTTTATTGTTTTTCTGTTTATTTAATACCTACAAGTCTCTTGGAAAAAAATATGCGGGAACCACCTAACCTGGCAACCCTGCTGCATAGTGTGTAAACAGGAACACTGAACCAGTGCTTCAACCAAACTTTACAGGAACATTTGACTCTTAAACACACATATATCAACATAGAACCATCAACATCTCACCTCAAATTGAATTAAAAGTGACATCCGTGTCTTAATTCGATCGTATTTACTCTTTTAAAAAGATTCTCGGACTTTACGTCCGCCATCTTGGATTCCTCTCGCTGCTGCATGAGAGAAGCTTGAGAAGGCAGTGCAAACCCCACGTAACACCGGCAATCCTGATTGGTCGATTAAAAAATAATCTGGGGAAGGCGTTCGCTATGGCGTCGATACCAGACCCATGTGGTTCAGCCAAACGCCTCTGGTGGAGCATGGCGGAACTACAAGGGTCTGGCAGAGCCAGGCTAGTGCTGCCCTGGTGATTTAAATGAAAAAGACCAAGACCACACTTCATCCATCCATTTTCTGCCCCTTAATCCATTTCTGGATCGGGGGGTGGCAGTCAGAGCTGCACCCAGTTCACAGAACACCAGCCCCTGCTGATCCTCCTGCAGGTGGGGAGTCCACAGGAGCCTTGATTATTCAGCAGGTGCTTCAGGCAAAGAGGGGTTAAGCATCTTGCCCAAGGACACAACTGCAGCAATCATCAGTGGGAGTCGTGAGGTAGGTCTTGTGGTGGGCTCAAACCCATGACCTTCAGGCTCTAAGGCCAATGCTCTACCAACTGAGCCACTGTCACCCCAATTAAGTTTCCAGGTCTGGTACAGACTCTTTACATTGGTTGATGGCAGGTTACCTCAGTAAAAGGATCAATTTAAAGTTTTCCATATATACATTTTGCTAAAATTATAAAAATTGTGTATTGACAATGACCAGAACATAAATAGTGAGTCTTTGCTTCCGGGAAAAAATAAAATTGTCAGTGCGGCCAATCTGTGATTTGGTTGATTGAAATTACCGCTGCGTCCCAATGCCAATTACGATAAGTGTTGTGATTACTGCGATAACTTTCAGATTGACCGTCCCTCAATGTGCTGCCACTCTGCCACCTTTAATTAAACCAATCAGTGCATAATGTGAGAGCCTCTTACTCAAATAGCATCGAGCATAAAGAAACAATGGTTTTGGAGCATTGCCTTTGAAAGATGCACAACAAGTGGTTTGTGATTAAATCTGTTTTTGTTTTGTTTTTAAAGTTTACTTGGATTTAGAAAAGAGTGTAATGTTACATCATTTGAAATCTTTGGAGCAGGGATCAGATTTCAGACTTTTTTTTTTTTAATGGGTTTTACCAGGGTAAATAATTAATAATAATGATAATACATTTCTTTCCAAATGTCACAAGCAAATTGAAAACTGAAAAATTGCGTTGTTTTGCCTATAGATCAGGACTGCACTTAATACAGGTCTGTTACTTTACAAAATACAAATCTTTACACAATAAGTAAGTAAGTAATCTTTATTTATATACCGCCTCTCACAGACCAGAGTCACAAAGCGGTTTACAATAGGGGAAACCGGAGTACCCGGAGGAAACCTACGCAGACACAGGGAGAACATGCAAACTCCACTCAGAAAGGCCCTGGTCCGACCGGGATTTGAACCCAGGACCTTCTTGCTGAGAGGCATTTAACCTTTCCCAATAAGAAAAGGTTAAAACCTAAAAAAAAATATTGCAGATGTAATAAGTAAAGGCCTATCTCACATTTTCAGGAATACTGAAAACATGCTCATGCTGCTTAAATTATCAATTCGATTACTACAAAATATGTCAGGTTGGGCTTTCGTCTGCTTCTTTAACGCCCACTGATCAGATTTGTA